GGTTCTGCTACAGCCTGGGCCGATCCGTGCAGGCGGGGGTTTTTTTGGGGGGGGGGGACGCATTAAACTTGTTAACGTTAGGCGTTCGGCCACATTGCGGTTCTCTCTCCTGAAGTAATTCCTGTGATAGAAACGCCTCGCTCGTTCACTTAGTTCAGTGGGTAATCGCCCTTCCCGCATTTCAATGAGCAGGTTAAGAGTGGGGTGTGCTGCTGCTGAGATCTCATGATCAGGAGTTTATTATGCGTTTTCACTTATTTGCAGATTGCCATACATGGGTTTGCATTTGACAAAGTAATATAGCAGGTCCTTGTTCCTGGGAGTTTAGACTTAAGATAGCCAGCAACCATGTGAAGCAGTGGAAGAGCAAAGAGGAATGGCATATTGTAGATACACTGCATACAAACATGTGCATTAGAAATGAAACTGAAATTTTCTAAGTACACTAGTAAGGTCTGTCTTGCAAAATATTAGCTTTTTAAAAATTCTCTTAGTGATTTGGCCAGGCTTTGGAAAGTGTTTTTCCTGGCAGAGTACTTTGGTGAGCTTGTACTATATTAGAATGAGAAATAATTTGAAACCCCAGAACATTTTTCACTTTTAGATAATTTTGTTCAATAAATAGCATTTTTCATTAAATTAATTTGGAGTTGATTTTTGTCTTTTTAAGGCTTTGGAGTTGTGAAGGAAGGAGAAGAAGCATTAAATATCAGGTAAAATATTTTTCCAAACTTTGAGTCACTTGGGAGTAAAATATCAGCTAATTGACTAGTTGATTAACCTCAGAACATTTTTCACTTTTAGATAATTTTGTTCAATAAATAGCATTTTTCATTAAATTAATTTGGAGTTGATTTTTGTCTTTTTAAGGCTTTGGAGTTGTGAAGGAAGGAGAAGAAGCATTAAATATCAGGTAAAATATTTTTCCAAACTTTGAGTCACTTGGGAGTAAAATATCAGCTAATTGACTAGTTGATTAACCTCATGAATTTTTATCTGTTACTCAATTATTCTATAGCACCCAGGGATGAGGCTGGCAGCCAGTGTACTCCCACCCCATTCCCGAGGAGCCCCCTGCCACTCTGTGCTTCTGCCTCTGAAGTAGCGGAAGGTACCAGGTGGGAGCTGGTCCACAAAGGGAGTAAGTTTCAAAAACCAGTTCCCCTTGTGGACCAGCTGCCTTACTCAAGTTATTATTGAAGCTTCAGAAATAAACTAAATAGATTTAGATGTTTAAAAATGGAGCCTTATGCATATTCCACAGCAAATGGAAGAGCAAAGCAATCTTTGGAACTCTTTCAGTTCAGCTTGACTGGTCAAAAGAAGAACATATCACTTGTAATACTAGACGCTGTGGGTTATTCCAGAATATCTTCGTTTACTAGAGACATGTCTAGGAGATTTAGATAGTAAAATTATTTGTCGTGTTTGTGTTTTAGGACATCTGTCTTTGAATAGTTGCATGAAGGTTATTGTTATAATCTACAACGTGTTTGTGAGCGAGTGTGTCTGTCTGTCTGTCCAAGAACTCCTCCTGAGCAGTTACAGCTAGGACCACCATATCTGATATGGAATTTCCTCTTATGATAACTTAAAGCAATAGTAAGGGTTTGGTTGGACAGGGTAGGGTATGCCCTCTGGAGTTGCAGCAGCCATTGATAGGTTCTTCTCACCTGTATGCAAGCTGCTAGGAAACCCTTTGTCCCTAATCCCACCCCAGATCAATTATTTGAATTAAGATAAACAACAATTAATTGAGTTAAGGACCTGAGCAATGCTAGGTACATCTTCTAGTTAACTATAAAGGCAGAATGTGTTCCTAATGCACATATTCTAACAGTTACAAAAAAAAATCTTTGCTAAATTTCTGTTTTTCTTTATTTCTTTAAATTTACTTTAAAATTAAAAAAAAGGTGAAAATGCACCATGGCAACGGTCCTCAGAATGCTCAGCGTCAGCTCCAGAGGTCCAGATCTTTCACAGGAAGTGAGGGAGAAGAGCAGCAAACAAACTTACCACAGTCCCCTGCAGCTTCATTTGCTCCTTCTGCAAGTCCTTCTGCACCACAGTCCCCCAGCTACCAAATACAGCAATTTATAATGAGTAGAAGTCCAGTAGCTGGGCAGAATGTGAACATCACACTGCAGAATGTTGGACCAGTAGCATCAGGAAATCAACAAATAACACTTACCCCATTGCCAATATCAAATCCAACGTCACCAAATTTTCAGTTTAGCCCTCAGCAAAGGAGGTTTGAACATGGATCTCCGTCGTATATTCAAGTTACTTCACCATTGCCCCAGCAGGTTCAGTCTCAAAGCCCTACACAACCCAGTCCTGTACCAGTCCAGTCATTACCAAATGTTCGGGCAGGCACTCCAGGCTCTGGCTTAGGTATGTGTAGCCAGAGCCCTACTAGAGGATTTGTTGATGCTAGTGTGCTTGTGCGACAGATCAGTCTGAGCCCTTCAAATGGTGGACACTTCGTATATCAAGAAGGATCTGGAATTGCACAAATTGCTCAAGGAGCTACAGCACAGGTACAACTTCCATCTTCTGGGGCACCTGCAACTATACGAGAACGCAGGCTTTCACAACCTCATTCACAGACTGGTGGCACCATTCATCATCTTGGACCTCAAAGTCCTGTGGCTAGTGGAGCAAATATACAACCTTTGACTAGCCCAGGTCATATTACAACTTCTAACTTGCCACCACAAATCAGTAATATTATTCAAGGGCAACTCATGCAGCAACAGCAGCAAGTGCTTCAAGGACAGCAATTGAACAGACCCATAGGATATGATAGGGCTTCTGGTGGATTAATAACTGGAGTTGGAGGGCCTCCTGCTTTTGGAATGACGTCGCCACCCCCTCCTACAAGCCCTTCACGAGTCAATGTACCGCAGGGCTTGTCTAATCTTCCTCTTACTCCTACAGTAAGTACAGGAGTGAAAAAACAACCTAAAAAATTGGAGGAGATTCCACCTGCTACCCAAGAAACAGCTCACATGAGAAAGCAGTGCTTGGATCATCATCACAAACAGATGGAGATTCTTAGGGAGACTTTTAAGGAATATTTAATTGAACTATTTTTCTTACAACATCTTCAAGGGAATATGATGGACTTCTTAGCTTTTAAGAAGAAACACTGTGTTCCATTACAAGCATATCTTAGGCAAAATGACTTGGACCTTGAGGAGGAAGAAGAGGAGGAACAATCTGAAGTTATCAATGATGAGGTAGGAAATCTACTATTTCATAATTTGGAGTTAAACACTGAATGAAATTGTGGCAATTGGATACCAAAGTATGAGATGCCTTAGAAATAATTTAAATTTTATTTTTGACTAAAGTAATAGAGCAGACTTTTTAATGAAGATTTTCAGAGAATTGTAATTTTGTTAATGTGAAGTTTGGAATAGAAGGCTGATTTGAGCATGCCATTGAAAGCATATATTTTAAGAATAGAGGTAATATAATAGGGAAAG